AGACATACACTAAATGTATCTCAGCTATGATTTATCACAAACACAATCCCAGATAAGCAGAGATCATATGTGATATATATTTCATAAATGTTGTGATAAAGCATACGATTACCAAAAATGCAAAAAAATGATATTATAGTCACATACAGACCATTCTTTGCCTTTCAATGAATGGCTATAACACTATTCTTACATATTCTTTGCTTTTTTCCCTAGTTTGACAAATCCTTATAAATATAGCCACAAATAATAGTCAAATATTTACATATTAAAACTTTTTTAAAATAACCATGCTACTATATCATCTTAAATCACTAAACTTAATACTTAAAAAAGTCATTATAATAATTATGAACAACCAAATATCATTATTTTAGTAATAGTCCGCACCGAACATGTTTAATGTGACAATTCAAAGCTTCAACTTTAATTTAATAGCATTAGTTTTACTGTTACTGAAGAATAAAGTAATACCTAATATACAGTATAACCTCTCGTAAGTAAATGCAAGATGTGAGCAAAAATGGAAGCTCGTGATGATAATACAGTGCAACCTCTCTTGGGGAAACTTCTCTTAGGAAAACACCTCCTCATAAGAAACGTGTTTAAAATATATGTTGGATTTCCTGTACTTATAATGTTAATACAAATTCTTTTAGGGAAACTTCCTTTGTAGTGCAACCTCTCTTGGGGAAACTTCTCTTAGGAAAACACCTCCTCATAAGAAACGTGTTTAAAATATATGTTGGATTTCCTGTACTTATAATGTTAATACAAATTCTTTTAGGGAAACTTCCTTTGGAGAAACCATCCCTAGAAGAAACACTTTTGTCGTGCAACTGGCCGTTTCTTATAGAGAGGTTGCACTGTGGGTTAATTAACGGAATTATTATATTCAGTATTATTTATATTTACAAGTATGTAATAGTTACAACACTAATAAAAATTTATAAGTGATAACATAAATCAAGAATTCATAGTATATTATAAATGTTATTTTAAAAAAGTTTTACTATTTTCACTATTTTTAATATGTAGTAATAAAATTGTTTCACATTAAAAATATTTGCAATAAAAATTTCATATGGTAATGTAATTTTGATAAAATTATCAAAAATGTATCATATTTAAATATGGAAATATAAATTAGTAAATTCCATTATTTAAATATTAAAGCAATTGATATTAATAACAATTGATTGCTATTAAGTTAGTAAAAATTATGATAGATATAAAAATGATTTATAATGTGTAAAATAATGATAAAATCAAAAGTAACAATCCATAGTAATGGCTTTTTAAGCAAATTAAATAAAATCTATATACAGTACTGTATTTGTATTGCATGTTAATTGCATGCATAGAGTATATTATAAATTATAATACTCTATCACTTATTAATGTCAAATATTCTTTGATTAAAATATTATACAGTAATATATTGAATAAACATTATGCGTAAGAATTTTTATAAGAAATAAAATTGTTTGTGATCATACAGTATACTATACTAGGTACATTTTCTACTGTCAGAAACAATACATAATTAAATGCCTTTATTTGCTATTCTGAGGAAAATACTTGATAATATGATTACTTTGTATATCATATGAAACTGAATGACCTAAACATGCAACACACAGTAGTGTTATACTTCTGATATAAGATAATGATTTATGTATTACCATCATACTTCGTAACATACTAATTACTATATCGTGATTAAAGAGTATAAATATAATCACAAAATTTACCTCAATCAAAAGATAAGCTGTAGTAAGTTATTTATCCACAATATATCCAATTATTTAATAAACTTATTTTATTGATTAGATTCTGATAATAACAATACAACAATAGTCTGTTGGGAAATATTCATAAGTTATTTCAACAAATTAACAATAGTTTGTGCTAACATGTTCGTTTTACAAAAATAAATTGCAGGACATACAGGTATCAAAGTCTGATTTATAATATTCTTTTGTATATTGTATTTAAAGTTGGTCAATAAACTTAAACATATAACATACTGTATATAATCAATTTTCATTTAATTTGTTTTGTTAATAATTATCAAATATACTACAATTCTGTAATAACTTTAGATATAATTATTAATGGTAATTATGATTTTTATTTACTATTACTAATAGTCTATTAGAAAGTTAATGAATTATAAAATGGAGTTTTCAAATCTGTTTGTAAGAAAATGTTTGAAAGGCAAGAAAACGTTAAAAACACAATAGAAAGTACTTCTAAATGATTGTTAGACTGCAATAAACTATAAGATAAAAACAGAATAGCTTTAGACATAAAGTGTACGTAAAATATAAAAGAGTGTTTGAATTCAATGTTGAATAATAGGACAACGAATGGCTGTAATGTGCGTTACAGTGAAGTGAAGTTTAGTGCAAAGGCTTTGATTAATTTAATGCTTGTTTNTATATGATTGAAGAATCTTCACAAGAAGAATATCAGGAAATAATACTTCCCTTTATTCGTAATATATTTCTAATGCCAAAGTCAGTACAGGTTTGTATATATGTTTATTTTAATTCACTTCCACTAATCCAATACTCGTATGCATCCATCGCCTCCTTTGCCTCTATTGTCGCCTCTTTTCCTATAATAATAACAGTGAGAATTGAGTCTATTTTTAATGTTTAAGAAAGTTATTTCACTGAAAGCTTATCCAAAATTCAACAAAAGTAACAAAAGTAGATTCGATTGCAATCCTATAGTAGTCTACCTTTTCCTTACTTTAGGCAACAGTCACTCTATTGGAAAACATTGATGTATTGATTGGCAAAACAGCTCAAAGCGACTTAAAAACTGATGTCTTACCCATGCTTTACGGCTCTTTCGACTCGACTTCTCCTCAAATTCAGGTCTCAATACAATTCATTTGAAACCTATTTTTATCACTTTTTTTTATTTCTTTCCAATGATTGCACTTAAATTATATATTAATTTTTAAATTCTTTTAATTAAATTGTCTTTAAAATCTGGTTATTTAGAGACCAATGATGTATATGAACATGTTTTTGTGCAATAGATTGTAAATGTATTAAAATTCTATTAGTATACCGTGTTGGTTTTAAAGTGTTTCGCATACAAGCATTTACTGCTATTATATTTATGTATTTCAGAATATTTTTAAAACAATTTAATATAATTCTGAGAAAGATAAAATTAGCATCTGGTTTATACTAAATCTTTGTATACCAACATTTTTTTTTATTAAAGTCCCCCATTAAATCATTATGATAATAATTTAGTTCTCAAACAATGTGTAAATTAAACATTGTTAAGGAAATAGATGAACATAGTGTCAATTAAGGATATCCCTTAAGATGTAAATATACAGTACACTACAGATTACTATTGGTTGCGGTTAATACATGTATTACATTTCAAAATAATACTTACAATACATAAACTTTTAAGTGTTCTCACTATAAAGGATACTGTGCTCTGAATATTAAAAATTGATTTAAATACCAGTTTCTTGTAATTTTGAATAAAATACCATTTGTATAGATATTTATCTACAATAATTAATTTAATACAACATGAACTTTTTTAGATTTTATAAAACATGTATATGAATGGTATTTAACCCAACAGTAAATAAGATTTTAGCATTCAGAACAGTTATTATGTATGATCAAATAGAAAATTACTAGATTTGAGACATACATAGGTACAACTTATTTACTAACAAGTAAGAGAGAGAGAGAGAGAGAGAGAGAGAGAGAGAGAGAGAATAACGTTTATTTTATTCACAATTGTTTAACTTTTAATGAATTTAGATAAAAATATAAATCTTTAAATTATTCACACATTATTTGTTGTGAGAACTGATTAGTAATCAGTGATTACTTACCTTAATTTAAAAACATTATTTGTATTAAAAGCAATCACTTAAGAACCAAAATATAAAAACATGATTAAAATGTTATCTCTTTTCAAAATGATATTGTAATTTTAATTCATATTAAGTTAATATTATTATTAACTGTAAAATATAGTATTTGAAGCATAACCCTTAAATGACACTTTCCTGCAATGACTATCTCCATTCAATGTTGTAAATTACGATTAATAATTAAAATACACTTTATTTTGAATATTTTCTCAAAACAAATTCAATTCTTTTAATTAATCAATAATTATGTTCATTATATTTAAGTCATCAGAAAATTATCTGGAGATCTATTTTCGTGAATTCAGTGATCAGTGTTTTAATTAATTAATTAAATAATTAAGAGTTTACCAGAACTTAGTCTCAACACATCCTATCATTCATATCATAATCTTTATTCTCTATCCAATGGAGTAATGTTTGTATCGATGGCTTACGACAACTTCACTATAAGTTTGTTCAACAATTCCTTTCTTATATTTGTTTACTTAAACTCAACGCTCACTTATTTGTTAACTATTCAGAAAAGATCGGAAATTTGAATTATTTACTCAAACCTTCAGCATATTGTTGATAACAAATATAATCTGCAAATTATAAAACATACTATTAATAACACAAAGCGTAATAACCAACAAAAAATGTTCAATGCTTTGTTATTACAAGGGTGCAACATTATACAATATTACACTATAAATATACTTCAACTATTTCAATTACTTCAATTTAAGATTACGATATTTCTTAACTTTTTCTCTCAACCAGTTATTGAAATTATACAAATTATATTTTCAATATAATGCTATTATTATAAAGTTTAATATAAACTTAGTCCATACTATTCACAACATCAATGAGCTCTAAAATACAATAATTAGATTTTAATGATTTTTAATGCGCTCAACAAAGAGATTGAATTAAATATAAAGTTGAGAACATTGGATATTATATGAATTAGTTGTCATCCGATAGAATATTGTATGAGTGGAGTCATAATACTATATGTAATCCCGGATCACATTTCATAGTTATGGAGCATAAATGCAATTTCCACTTAAAACAAGAAAGATTATTTATCAAAGTTCTTGAATTCTTTTTAAATAACAACAATATTTCACAATTATATGATAAAAATAGTTCAATTTAATGACAAAATGTTGAATTTATAAATATTTTTAGAGAATTCATTATTGTTTGCGAATATAATTATAATAACAATAGTGTTTAATTGAATGGATTTGCATTGAATGACTGGAATTTACTCAATACTGTATATAAAAACACAAAATATTGGTTTTTAGAGAATTAATTAGAAAAGGGTGTGAAGAATGCGGCGAAAGAATGATTAATAATAAATGTTGTATTGTTTGTGTCTATAGTGTGCGGCGCTGTCAGCGGTGGCCCAAGTGATAGACCAGTTGGACGAGACAACCATAAGAAAGATGGTTTTGCCCAAAACTAAACAAATCTTTGAGAATAATTGTGGTGTTAAGGTATGTAAAGCTATTTTAATCAACGTTTACATTAAACAAGCATTAAATTAATCAAAGCCTTTGCACTAAACTTCACTTCACTGTAACGCACATTACAGCCATTCGTTGTCCTATTATTCAACATTGAATTCAAACACTCTTTTATATTTTACGTACACTTCATGTCTAAAGCTATTCTGTTTTTATCTTATAGTTTATTGCAGTCTAACAATCATTTAGAAGTACTTTCTATTGTGTTTTCACGATTTTTAACGTTTTCTTGCCTTTCAAACATTTTCTTACAAACAGATTTGAAAACTCCATTTTATAATTCATTTACTTTCTAATAGACTATTAGTAATAGTAAATAAAAATCATAATTACCATTAATAATTATATCTAAAGTTATTACAGAATTGTCGTATATTTGATATTTGTTAATTATTAACAAAACAAATTAAATGAAAATTGATTATATACAGTATGTTATATGTTTAAGTTTATCGACCAACTTTAAATACAATATACAAAAGAAGATTATAAATCAGACTTTGTACCTGTATGTCCTGCAATTTATTTTTGTAAAACGAACATGTTAGCACAAACTATTGTTAATTTGTTGAAATAACTATTATGAATATTTCCCAACTATTGTTGTATTATCAGTATCTAATCAATAAAATAAGTTTATTAAATAATTGGATATATTGTGGATAAATAACTTACTACAGCTTATCTTTTGATTGAGGTAAATTTTGTGATTATATTTATACTCTTTAATCACGATATAGTAATTAGTATGTTACGAATTATGATGGTAATACATAAATCATTATCTTATATCAGAAGTATAACACTACTGTGTGTTGCATGTTTAGGTCACTCAGTTTCATATGATATACAAAGTAGTCATATTATCAAGTATTTTCCTCACAATAGCAAATAAAGGCATTTAATTATGTATTGTTTCTCACAGTAGAAAATGTATCTAGTATAGTATACTGTATGATCACAAACAATTTTATTTCCTATAAAAATTCTTACGCATAATGTTTATTCAATATATTACTGTATAATATTTTAACCAAAGAATATTTGACATTAATAAGTGATAGAGTATTATAATTTATAATATACTCTATGCATGCAATTAATATGCAATACAAATACAGTACTGTATATAGATTTTATTTAATTTGCTTAAAAAGCCATTACCAAGACCGCTTTGAGGGAGGGCAGGGTTGAAATTCTATAAACGTGATTACTGAATCACCAAGCTAATTTTCAAAATATAATTCACGATAAGCGTTATTATATTTATAGTTATCGTTTCCCCTTTAATTATAAATAAATACTCAAAATATTTTAGTCCTTTAAAAGTTCATTCATTTTTATTTTCCTGAATAAATAGTTTATTCATGTTTATTATAAACCCTACTTTTATATTACTGTACACTATATATGAATAACATATGAATAGTATATAAATTACAAAACACTGCTTTATAAAATTTACACCATGGTGTAAATCCAAAGCGGTGTTGGCCATTACTATGGATTGTTACTTTTGATTTTATCATTATTTTACACATTATAAATCATTTTTATATCAATCATAATTTTTACTAACTTAATAGCAATCAATTGTTATTAATATCAATTGCTTTAATATTTAAATAATGGAATTTACTAATTTATATTTCCATATTTAAATATGATACATTTTTGATAATTTTATCTGTAAATGTAATGACACCCAAACCCCCTATACTGGCGCCCAATTTCCTATCACAGCTGAGCCTCTCTCTCTCTCTCTTACTTGTTAGTAAATAAGTTGTACCTGTGTATGTCTCAAATCTAGTAATTTTCTATCTGATCATACATAATAACTGTTCTGAATGCTAAAATCTTATTTACTGTTGGGTTAAATACCATTCATATACATGTTTTATAAAATCTAAAAAAGTTCATGTTATATTAAATTAATTATTGTAGATAAATATCTATACAAATGGTATTTCATTCAAAATTACAAGAAACTGGTATTTAAATCAATTTTTAATATTCAGAGCACAGTATCCTTTATAGTGAGAACACTTAAAAGTTTATGTATTGTAAGTATTATTTTGAAATGTAATATTAACCGCAACCAATAGTAATCTGTAGTGTACTGTATATTTACATCTTAAGGGATATCCTTAATTGAGACTATGTTCATCTATTTCCTTAACAATGTTTAATTTACACATTGTTTGAGAACTAAATTATTATCATAATGACTTTAATAAAAAAAATGTTGGTATACAAAGATTTAGTATAAACCAGATGGTAATTTTATCTATCTTTCTCAGAATTATATTAAATTGTTTTAAAAATATTCTGAAATACATAAATATAATAGCAGTAAATGCTTGTATGCGAAATACTTTAAAACCAACACGGTATACTAATAGAATTTTAATAAATTTACAATCTATTGCACAAAAACATGTTTATATACATCATTGGTCTCTAAATAACCAGATTTTAGAGACAATTTAATTAAAAGAATTTAAAAATTAATATATAATTTAAGTGCAATCATTGGAAAGAAATAAAAAAGTGATAAAAATAGGTTTCAAATGAATTGTATTGAGACCTGAATTTGAGGAGAAGTCGAGTCGAAAGAGCCGTAAAGCATGGGTAAGACATCAGTTTTTAAGTCGCTTTGAGCTGTTTTGCCAATCAATACATCAATGTTTTCCAATAGAGTGACTGTTGCCTAAAGTAAGGAAAAGGTAGACTACTATAGGATTGCAATCGAATCTACTTTTGTTACTTTTGTTGAATTTTGGATAAGCTTTCAGTGAAATAACTTTCTTAAACATTAAAAATAGACTCAATTCTCACTGTTATTATTATAGGAAAAGAGGCGACAATAGAGGCAAAGGAGGCGATGGATGCATACGAGTATTGGATTAGTGGAAGTGAATTAAAATAAACATATATACAAACCTGTACTGACTTTGGCATCAGAAATATATTACGAATAAAGGGAAGTATTATTTCCTGATATTCTTCTTGTGAAGATTCTTCAATCATATATATAATTGGCTGCAAAGCGGCGGCCAATACCTCAGGGCTTTGTAGCTCAGCCTCCATAGACGGCAATATGTGTTGCCACCACATCTTCTACACACGTATATATTCAATATAATCACATTATACACAATCAATGCATTGCCAATATTATAAGCATTTTTATACAAATCATTAAAATTAATTGACAGCAAAGGCTATTGTTTAATAAAACAATGCATTTCATATCACAAACATCTCACCTTTTGTATTTAATTTATTTACCACTAATTATAGAGCATAATATCTTTTGTTCATACACTGTATTGAACCATCCATAAAGTGTTGCCAATATTTAAGACAACAAATCATTTTATAAACAAATAATATTTTGAACAATTGTCAACAATTCTTGTAATCATCTGTTAATTTTTAAAAATATATAAAGTGATATATCAAATGATAATTTATTCTAAATAATATCTGACTAAACATTAATTATAATTATTAGTTAAAAAAATAAATAGTTAAATATACAAGGTAAATCAAACAAGGTTGGTTACCTTAGGAATGCTGGATAGGGCTCCCTTTAAATTGTGATAGAAGTTGGACTTATGTGATGAGTCTTTCATTTGAATTACATCCAAATATTGGAGAGCATGGACTCCAGAATCCATAAAATATTTGATCTAAAATTAAACATAATGTTAATTCTCAAGTTTTAGATTTTAAAATCAAGCTAATTATAAATAATAAACATTAAATAACTTTATACAGTTATAATACTTGATGCCATCTTAAGAACGATCGTGAGACATTTTTAATTAATGTACTCTCTAATATGTAATACATCAATTTTCACAATATATAGTTTTTAAATTTTGGGCTACCATGGCAAATTCACCTTGATTAAAATTTTATATATATGATAATAGCTAATGTGTGGTCTGTTCGGGGATTTAGTAGTCAGCCATAGCAATAGATACGAAATTGGTTTTAATAATAAATTAACGATAAGATAAATTTATTATTCTTTCATTATACAAATTAATTTATGTATAAATCATTTGATTTTTTAAATAAAAATAATTATTTGAAATTTTCGCATTATTAGTTTTACCTTCTAATATTAATGAAATTAGTGTAATTATACCATAGTGAATCTCATCAGTAATAAAGTCTATACAGTACTTAATAAATATAAAATATATATTTTTAATGTTGTACTCGATTGGTACATCATTTCAATTACTTGTAATAACATTCAATCGATACAAACGACATATTTCTAAAAATACAATACAATTAATATTTTGAAAACAGATCTGTTTTTCCATTTAATATTTAAAAAATAAAAATTATTGACTACATCACCAGTTCAACAAATTATTTACAAAGCAAAAATATACTCAACTTATGTACGAATATAATATTAAACTAATCAACGAAACATTTCTACTGATATAATATTTAAAATAATATTCTTTAAATACTCAAAATGTCGGTAACTTTAGGATCAATTTTGAAAATTAATTTAATTTATATTTTTATAAAATTTTACCTTTTGTTCAATACTATTATATTCTTATATGAATTTAACCATAATTTCCGGTTAAAACTACAGTATAATTGTCTATTAGAGAATTAAGGTGATCAGTTGATCATGTGGGGCTTATTTCAAATAATATTTATAGAAAGTGAGCTAATGTTATGTTATGTGTTTTATTCCCTGTAGTATTCATAATAAATTGAAGCCAAAACATTATTCGTATTAAAATGTAATAAAAAATTGTTAAATAATACATTAGTTTTGATTATTTTTGTCACTAATTGTAAACACTTTAAATGAACGCAATTTACGTTTACTAAAATAATTATTTATAATTATTTACGTTGCAATAATTATTTTTATTTTATTATGTGAATTCGCTTACTTATAAGAATATTCTGTATTGTGCTATAATATAAAAATTAATGTAACTGATCCTACAATAATTGTCATTCAAAAGATTATAGTATATAAAATAATAATCAAAAGTGTAGTAATGGGATAAAAGTGACCATATGTTTGACATAATAAGACAATACACCACTCCTTAAACACTATTAATTGGATTTTAGTATTTTTCCATTTATTAAATTTGTTTGTTTCCACACTTTCTATGGTTTTCTATATTTACTCAAATAATATGGTTTTCATGGCATTCAACTTTTTCTAGTTTATTAAATTAACATTTCTTTTATTATTTAATTTATTAATTAAACATTTAGTCAAACATTTACACAATCTATTAAGTTATGTACAGAATTTAGTAGTTATTATTTCTGATAAGCTTCTTGTGGGCAATTAGAAAAATCAAGCTCATAATTTTGCAACTTTAAACTAGATTTAAGCACTCTTTAATACTATTATATTAATTGACCATGATGGATAACAAATATTTATATTTAAGGGTATTGGTAAAAGCCTGGATTTTATTTTAAATATATTAACCATAATTTATTTACAATATTTCTATTGAATAGTCGTTATAATATGGTATTATGGTAAAGATTTATTTTTCGTTGACCAAAAGCGTATTATATAAGAGTTATATATAATATAATATTTAAATAATATTTAGAAACTGTTTTACTATTAATATTTTACCCGAATATAAAAAGTAATTGTTTATAATTTAGTAAAAAAATAATTCAATCACTAAATAAATGTTTTAATAAAATATTTAAATATATTCAATACTTTTTGTTTTGCAAAATGTGTTGTTTTTATACATTCTTTACAAAATGCCATTCAATTTAAAGAGCATTAAAAAAATAAGAGAAATGTCAATCAAACTATAAATTAATGGAAAGCGTATAAAAATAGATATTTGATATAATAGTAAATTTTAGGGTTTCTAAATTCATCATCATATGAATAAATACTTTCATTTTATCATAAAATTATATAAATCCGTAAAAATATATACAGTATATTTGTATAATTTATTTAGTTTTATAAGATAACGTCTATAATGTAAATATAAACTAAACTTATATTTTGAGACTCCAATAAAAAATAAATCAAAGCATGTAATAAATTAAGTTAGTTACGTTTTCAATTTTACATAAAAATTAGTATTTTCAATTTTTATACGAATAATTATTGGGAATTTGTACTTTTGTATCCCTGTATATCCCTGTACTCTCCTGAACTGCCCCACAGTATATAACATTTGTGAAGTACACGATTGAATGGCAAATACATACACTTTAACCTATTTAAGTCTTTCTTAGTTCATAATTTATTTGATATATAATTCTGTATTATTAATTAACTATCACTTTCAATGGCTAAATATAAATAAGTATATTTCAACTATAAATCTGTGCTGTAGTTTAAAAAGTTTACTTCAATACACAATATGTTTATTGCGAAAGTGAAAGGTGATAAGTATTCATCATTGAATGAGCATTGGTCATTATAATAACATTGATTACATTGGTATACTTTGGTATACTTATCAGTGATAAGTTATCACCTTTTACTTTCGATTTACACATATGTAATTTGCTAATAAATTAATAAATACCTTTTAATTAACCTACATACAAACTTTTAATTCATTTGCACTAACAAAAACAAAATGTACCAAGAAGTAATAAAATTACAAATGTTTTTCACTTGCAATCATTTTGTGTTGAGGTTGTCTTTTACATTAATGAAATCTAATAATTAGTATTTAAATTAATGACATACAAAATGACATTTATTAAAAACTAAATGATTAAATGGCCTGCGACTGCCTTTCTATTCATTAGACTCTAATGCAATGTATTATAAATTATAATTATATAAAATATCGATCATTTGTAGTGTATTTATACGATATGTTGATCCGTCTCTTTGGAGATAACATTGCATTTAATCGTCAGTCTATTCCCTCTTCTCTTCTTATTTTTTGCTGCTAAAGAGCACACGAGTGACCAAAACGGACACTAAATGCTAGAAATCTAATCATTCTTTTGTTTTAAATACTTTAAAAATACTGAAAAATATATATTTAATTCAATTATTTTGAGAACGAGCAATGAATAGTAATTATAACTTTCATACTAACCATTATATAATTATTGTCTATAAACACTATTTAATACCCATTATCTTTTGTAAACAAAATTTTAATTACAGGCATTGAATCAAATAAAGAGGGATTGGAGGCACAAACTAATTAACAAATGGACTCATAATTACAAGTTTGTGTTTAAATGTACATCGTTATGATATTTTTCTAAAATATGGTCTAATAGATTATTTAATTTTCTGTAATTAATTAAATATTTAATAAGTGAAAAACGAATTATTAAATTTGCAATTCTTAATGCTTAAATTAAATCATTTCATTAATCATATAATTAAAAGTAAATAACATGTTTAAATCTATTTATAGATATCAAGTTATATTAATTATTTCTTATAAATACTATACTGTTATTTGTTAATGTGTATTAGATTTACAATTTTAATTAATTCATTATTAATTATGATAAGATATGTGCACACAACTGATTTACTACTCAACCATGGTCAATTGAGTTTTCCAACAATTAAATTTTTCTAACAATCTTATTTATAATTTATTAATGATGTTTATGAGATGATAATCCCATGTATTTAATTCAGTATAATGTTTAGCTGAAAAGGACAGTTCGGTGTGAGTCCTCATATAATAAACATTGATTTATTTCTTTGTTTCTGTGTCTAAAGTACTGTAAAGTACTTTATATTTGTTTGAATGCAAATCAAATTTTGCAAACATTGAAGTATAAGAAACAGAATAAGGCTAAGGGTTTAAAAACTGCTTTTACGCCCCAATCACTTCAAAACAGGTGAACTACACATAACATGGTATGAATTGATTGTTGAATTTACTTATTTATATTTAGATATCTTGTGTTCAATTGTTTTCTTGAATATTTTTGCTTATTTTAGTCATAAATAATCAATAAACTATTTATTTATATTTTTATAATCTCACATTTCTATTACAAATAAAATTAGCAAAAATAGACAAATTAAAGATTACACGGCATTACACATAAATTAATTGCTGCAAACTTTGAAAATATATTTTATGCAAAAACTCCATGCGATTATATTTATGAAATGAATTATAAGTTTTAATATAAATCTCAATAATTATATTTTTACAGTGAAATGAATTCACAAAAAATATTCAAAAATAAATGCTTTGACTGTTATAATAGTCGTCGGAAGCAAACGACATGTCTAGCAAAGCATACATTTGTAACATTAGTTTAATGATTAATATAAGCCTAAAGTGATTCTGAAATCTGTAATAAGAAGTACTTTTATGAGAAGAACACAGAATATAAATGGAAACAACATTTCTTATAAAAGCTGTCTTTTATGGTATATTTAGGCGATAAAAGCAAATATGTTTAAAATTCAAAACGTGAGCGAACATCAAATTATTTACTGGTAATAAGAGATGCCATTTGATTAACAATGAATGCTTACCATTGAAAAGTTCTGTGAATTCGGACGCCTTCTCGGATCAACCTCTAGGAGTCCCTGAAGTGGGTCTTGTAAGTGATGGGGTATGGAATCAAGAAGTTCATGTAAATGATGATCCAGCTATTAATTATACAATATTCACATTTTATTATACTCTAGATAATTCAGTACTCATATATAATTCACTACCCCTGACTCGGGGTCAACTTTATGTAACCGACAAAGTCATTGCCACCCCTCTCAATATAAAATACACCCTCATTCTCAATGTTAGTCCATGTAAAATATGCAACCCCTTTGCCCTGACTTCTCCGCTTGCATTAAATTCATATAATATATTATTATTGTATCTGTTATAGTAATTATTACAATGTAATATATATTTATGGCAATTATTATATACTTTTAATGTGTTAATATATAATTTATAAAATTTAACAAACCCTAAGATTTTCTTAACTCAATTGTATACAGATTTTAATTTAATTACAACTTGTTTTGAAATTAGGAAAAGTATTTATTTTATGTTTGTATAAAGCAGTTTGAAATCAATTTATAACAAATGTTTTCTATTTTTGTTAAAAACTTTAATAATTGATTATTTTATAGACATAAATAACAATCAATTTATTCATTAAAATCGATTCAATGTCTATTTTCAATATTTGTAATCTTATAATATTTATATAATCAAAGCATGGTTTATATTTATTAGCTGCACTTGATAAATAATTAATATCTGATATTTACGCTTAATATATCAATTTAATGATTGCTTTAACTCAATGATACTTAAATAGCTTTTATAAAGTATAGATCACTTGTAAAGATAGAAAGAAAGTAAGTAAGAACTGAATGAATTAAATCAAATAAAATTCAAGACAAGATTTAACCAATTATATTGTGTCTAATAAATAATTGATAGCTTTTTTTATAAATATTAGTGCTTTGAGAAAACTAATCAAATATTAATAGATTTAGTGTTGGCTCGGAATTTAAAAATATTTATTTATAGATCAATAATATAATAGCAGTCTATAATAGCATAGAATATTATAGACGCTGTGTTTATATTGAACGAAGAGAAGCAACAAATAGATACTATAGTAATAGAGATCGATATAATATACTGTATATGATATGAATATGAGACGAACCGAATCTAATTGTTTGCAATAGTGAGATGTGTTTAGATTGGACTCAATCAGTGATCTTCCGTTGTTGTAGAGACTGGCGATGAGAAGACCCAAAGAGAACATATCACTCATTGCACTACAACTCGAAACACTCTGCACTTCAGGGGCCGTGAAATCCAAGTCCGGTTGAGCCATCTTCGGGAGCTTTGATGTGAACGCTTGACACGGAATCGATGTCTATAATTCAAATCATAGCAAAATTACCTTTAATTTAGGAAATACAGCAATTGTTACATATATTATCATAAGTCATAATAAAAATAATTATTAGACTTTATTACCTCTCAATGAATTAATAATATTGATACATTTATATAAGAATTGCATTCACTATATGTCTAATATAACATACAGAATAAGTGAGTGTATATACTGTATAGTTTGCTGTGTATTATATTTGCATCAATTCAAGTGTTTATTTTCTCAATGTTTGCATAGCGAATGTAACCAAAGGCTAATAACAATTATTTATTTTTCATACATTCAATGTTTCAACGCCTCTTCACATTATACTGTATTTCTTATATCATATCAATAATATAAACACTCATATATTTAAAAATAAAAGTATAGTTCCGACGAACAATTCTTATACTCCATTCTCTTCAATGCATTGCGATATTTGATAGTAAATCCCGGAGGGATTTGCATCGATAGTCTTAAAAGCCCTAAAATGGGCACAAATAAGGAATTTTCGTATTATTTATAGAAAATGTATAGAATATTCTGTAAGGAATTTATTGTTTGAATGATTTTAATACAATGAATATTAAAACTTATATTTGTTTTGCTTGTATATTAATATGATAGCATATTTTTGAAGCCATTACATGTATGATTATAATAAGAGATAATATTGAGACATTTATTATGATAACATGCATTGAAACCATTTTAAACGACAATATTTCTTATTCTCTTTGTTAATATTTGATAATCCGTTGTCTTTTCAATGATTGTGTATAGAAATATATAGTGTATGTTATTATTAGTCCTATTGAAATGATTTGTGCGGTTAAGATGTTTCAGTTTGAGTTATTGATTTAAAAGAGCTAACAATGCTATGTTATATGTTATACAGTATATATGGGAACTCAATGTATACTAAACTAGTAGACTATGAGATTGTAGAGCACAATATATGCCAGAATATACCGCTCTATTCAATATATGTGCCACAAATGGCGATACAATTTGTTTTATTGGGAGTGAAAACAAATGTTAATTTTTTCACATAATTAAAGCTCTAAAAACACATTTTTCAGGAAATAACAGTTAAATTAAATTTTAGAAATATAACTATTACTTAATTCAGACAATCACTGATATATAGAATGTTTAGATTTAATAAACAGAATAATATCAATACTGTATATGTATAAAAATATTATATTATTTGCCAACGTTAATGTACATAACGTATTAATGTTTTGATCCAATTTTTCCTACATGTATGAAAACAAATATTATTTCACCATTTAATTAACAAAATCCGTACAAACTATAGACATAATATTACTATTAATATTTCATAATATATAAACATTACAAAATATCAAAATTGTTGTAGTTTATAAATTTGAATCACAGAATATTATTGTTTTATAATATTTATTCATCTAGGTATCTAATAAATTATATATTACTTTAATTGAAAAAAAGTTAATTGCGATTTGTGTGTAACTTTGATAATGTACTAAAATTGAATATTATAAATGTTACAATTTATTTACAAAATATTGCGCACAAATGTAATTTTGTTTTATTTTAATATTTATAAAACTCTGTAATAAATTCTTTACGACAAAGAAAAATGAATGTAAATCATAAGCCGATAGTTTGATATCAAATATGAAATATTTATTTTCTAATTCAAGCTTTTTTTCTATCGATAAAGTGATGGAAATGACAGACAATATTTCACTTCAAATATGAATTTATTTATTATAATATTTTCAGTAAATTTTGTTCACTTTTTTCTTTATGTTCTCGTTTTTAGTGATAGTGAAGTCACATGTTTAACGTCGACCACACGTTAAGTATGAGTCTAATCTCCCACTCTTTATCCTTAATTAGAATTTTAAGTTATATTGAATACATTTTTTCGCACATTATAGACAGAGAATTATTTTTTAAGCAAAATGGTTATTTTCATGTCAACTTATTATTTAATATTGTCTTACTGAGCCTAAACTATAAATAAAACAGATGTCAAACCAATAGTTTAAATATACAATCAAATACCTATCCTGTCAACTATGGACAGTATCTATGCTGTCAACTACAGTCAGTAATCAATCCTGTGAATAGAACGGTTCCGGCGTTTTGTTCATAACACCAATTAGTTCACAGCATCGATGCTAGTTTAACATTAAGTATATTGGGTATGAATTTCGTCTTAGGTTCATAACATCGCTGTTTCCACAACATCGATGTTCACAGGAAAGACGTTTGACTGTACTCTATGTTATCAACCAAATCACAAAAACTATTCTGTTAATAGCATAGGTATTTGACTGCATTTAAATTTTAAACATTAACATTATACTATTTTCTTCAATAATTATTTATATAAAAGGTACTGTATATCATATAATTTTTATATGTACATTAAATTGTGATATAAAATATATAAATATTATGATTCGACATATTCTTTAATTATTAATGCATTCTGATATGAATAACTGATAAATACAAGTATAATACAGCATAAATATATAGATTGAGATTAATATTAAATTATAATCAATTACTGTACATGATTGATTAATCAACAATAAAATTTCTAATATCTAATTATATAAACTACAATTTGAAATCACAAAAATATAATAATTATGTCATTCGACTAATCATTATTATTAAATATTGTGCCCTTTAATCGAATATAAAGACATTCATATCTATAACACGTTCACTGTATGCTATTATCATTGATATCATCTTTATTTAAACTTGTTGAATAGTACATAGCTAAGTTTTTTAGTCATATTATAACAGCGTTTAATATTAGAGCTAACGTTATATTAATTGTTATACAAGTAATAAATTACGATTTAATGTAATGTTTGTAAGGGTTGGCACTCGTCTCAGTGTATTGACCCCCTGTAAAGGCCGGATCATATTACCGGGGTTTGACCCACCCATCTCACCCTTGTCAGTCTGTAACTCGATCTATGCAATGCTTAGTTTTATTACAAAGTTCAACCCTGAAATAAACCAACTTAACCAAGCAAACCGAACCAAATTATAACATTATATAATATTAGTATAATATAATATGAGTAGTTTTTCTGATTGTAACACATTTTCCCAAATGTACACTTTTCGGTACCGTCCCGTTCGGGTGCGGTCTTTGAGGTCATGATTACGAAATTTTAACCATTTGGCCATTCATTGAATGGCAGACAATACATCGACTAAGACTGATATATTGTTTCTGTGGGTCTATTGTTTAGTCCTGTGATTAAAAACAAAAATAGGCTAAGTTTTTATGTACTCGTTTCTTTCGGTTTAAATACTACTTCTTTGAAAAAATTTTAAAATATAACATGATACCTAAATAATTAACATATTAAATTAATTATTTGAAAGAATTTGTTGATAATTACCAAATTTTGGCAAACATTCAAACATAAGGTCACTTAATAATAGGAAAATATAAAGGAAGCCCCTGTAGTAACATTCTGGTCGTGATCTATAGACGTGTATTGTACTGCTATTTAATGTGGAGTATTCTAAATACTGTTATATACTGTATAATAGTTGTAATAATTTGTAATCTATGACATAGATTGTTGTATAGTTAATGCCCTTTATATCCATTTGTAAATATGATTTCCAAATGCTGTGAATCGCAAATTTAATTATATTCAATAATAGTATGAATGCATATGAAGTGAATTATATGTTTGGTTGGAATTGTAAATCAAATGCAAAGTTTGCATTTTGTCAACATTTTCGATGTTTTGATTGGATTCCAAACATATGTATTGCTGTAATGGCATAACACATGTCTCGTACGAACATTAATTAGATAATTAGATTAAGCGTTCGCTTCTCTAAAACCCATCTCTTTTTAAAACAATTCAATAAAATGCCATAAAATTAGTTTATTATATATTCCACATTCTGGGCCTATAATTATTATATTAGACCCGCATTTTCATAATCAAACACAATATATTTGATTTCATTATCGTAATTATAAATTCACTATTTTATATGGAAATCTCGTATAGGAATCAACAATTCATTTAAATTTAAAACTATGATTGCAAATAAAAATATAGTTTTACGCAACCTATCTAGCTCTAATGGATATTATTGGTATAATCGATAAGTCTTTGTCTTCGTATAGATTTAATAGAGGTATCTTAACCAAATTAATTTTATAATTTAAGTCAACATTCCTAGGCACCAGAAACGAAGTTTCATAACGATTGGATTATTGGTGTTTATACAGGAAATTTTTAAAATGTTTCAGTCGGAATTATTTTGCAAAATATTGCTCAATATTTTTTACCAAAAAATAACATATTTTGAAAGTAAAAATATTTTTGCAAAAGGTATGTTGGAAGTTATTGTTTTGTTGTTGGTATTTACTATTAGTTATCCAACAATAGTTAAGAGCAGTAATCATGACATTTGTGATAACAAGAATCAAATTCAAACCGACCGAACACAGGCCGCCAATCGGGTCGACTACCGATAATGAAGTGGCCACAGTTCAGGCACCGGTCAGAGTTGGCCATTAAATATGATATGGATGTATACATTAGATATTCACTATATTGGAAGAGTAGGGATTTTTAATTATCTCTATTATGGTTTGAGTATGGTCAATTTGCATGCGATTTCAAGCGTCTGTAATCACAAAAACAGACGCCTTCTCATAGGAATACATTATTTTGCCCGACTTTGTTTAAAAATTTATTGTATAAACATCTATCATCCGATCGTTATGAAACTTCGTTTCTGGTGCCTAGGAATGTTACATTAAATTTTAAAATTAATTTGGTTAAGATATCTCTATTAAATCTATACGAAGACAACGACTTATCGATTATGCCAATATAAAGTATTGCAGTACTTTATATGCAGTACTGCATTATATACAGGGTGTATTATCCATTCCTGACGCTTTTACAGCTTTTACATTATTTTTATTTTGTCCATGTTATAGAATATTTTTCTTAACAGTAATTCGTGGAATTTATAAGCAGATAATTCATGTTTAATTTGGTATAATTTATATAATAATTGATAATCCCTTGGTCTACCAGGAATAATTTTATTGTAAAAATACCAAATTTAAAATATTATTAATTTTGTGACCTTATCTATTTCTTGAAACAGTAAGCGTAATTAGATAATACTAATTTAGAAGATTAACCATCATATGTAATTTGTTAATTCATCATAATATTTAATTTTTCATAACCATACTTTCCACTGTAATTTTATTACTATGGTAACTTTTTCCATAGGATTACATTGAAAAATTCACAAAAATATAAATTGTTCAAGAAAGTTAGAATATTCTGGTTTAAATTCTAGATATTTAGGAAAACTTAAATACTGAGTACGCGAATATAAAGTACAACTTTTAATTAATTGAAAACAGCTGAGATTATTAAAATAGGTTTACAAATGCCTGATCTACACATGTTTAAGATAACCTACTCTTGTAATGCTTTTCAATGCAAATATGCATGTGTCAGAAATGGATAATACACGCTTTAGAGTGGTAGTGAACGGTCATTCATATTTGAAAGTTAAAATTATTTATTAATTTTAACCACAATTCAGATAATAATAATAATGTGGTTATAGAATTGTTTGGTTGCCCCCTTCCTTCGGCCTCCACTCTACGGGATTTAAGTTGGAATTACAGCTTAAGTCTATGACAAAGACTTAACATTAGGGCCTCCCATAGGAAAGCATTATGGAAGAGGCTTTAACATGGGTTTCTAACGGGACTTTTGCTCTAAAGTCACTTGCTCGAAATTTTATAAATGTCATTTTTAACAATATAATTGTGTGTGATCCTTTTTATATAATCTGTAAATTATATAAATTTGAAATTTGATTTTATTTGTTAAACTAATGTTGCAAAATAATATAATTTTATGTTATTTGTTTAAAGTATATAAAATCAATTTTCTAATATTTTAAAATAATTAATTAATTGTTGAGGCTTTAAAAATGTAAATTTTTATAAGTAATTTTTATGATTCATTAATAAAGTTATTTCAATTTGTAATATTTTGCACGTTTATATCACTTCATATAATATACTGTACAGAAGTTTACATAATATGTTTAATAGTGTTCTGAAAATTGAGAAATTTTCAAAATTGAAAACTTTTCAATAAATTCCAACAAATGTTCATTTGGTGTTTAATATGAGTCTCATTTAACACAATGTTTATACATGTATGTAATACTAAACAAGATTTTACAAAAAATTTACGTAAATTGCATGACTTTATTATTGAGCTATTTGTTAGGTTTTCCTATTGGACTTATTTTTGTATTTTGTGTATCATTTCAGAACATTCAGTAAAAATTAAAATAATATTCTAAATTAAGCATGTTTTCAAGTTATTATGTTTATTTACATAAATATTCACAATCTATTAGAAGAGATTTCTTAGAAATGTGTGTTTTGTTTAATATTAATGTTTAAGAATATTTTTGGTCAAATCTATAGTAAGTGCTTCACATTTAACACAAAGCACTTTTGTGTAAAACAAACGACTTAAATGACTGCAATGTCCAGAGGGTCTGTTCACTGGTTTCCCTTCACTTGAATGTCCATATATTGGAGTCGATAAAAGTATAGTTATTTTTAAGTTTATTCTCTAATATAAAAATGAAAACAATAAAATTCGTTACGTTTTTTCGGGAAAAAATATTTTATTACTTATAAAATAAAGAATAAGAGCTTATAATCCCATTATTTCTGATTCACTAAAGATATTATAAAATAAAAATTTCGAAATAATGCAAAACAAACACAAATATTTCTAAAATCCGTAAGTTATGGACCAAACACTGGGCTCTAAATGTATTTTTCTATTCTGTTATTTTGAATATTTAAACAAATTATTTTAATATACTTTTTATATTCACTATAAATTCCAAAATAATTGTATAAAACATGAGTTAAAGTAATGCAAAAAGAGCTTAAAACATGAATGTCGCACAAATTCTCAGTCATAAAAAACAAATAATAGCTGTTTTAGTAAATTAATTTCATTATCAAATGAACTCATTTTGTGTCTATAATATAAAATAAACGATATTTATACACAAAACAACACTTAAATTCTCGGTCAATAATATACCGTCAAATTCTTATTTTATTTTTATCCATTTTAGTCTAAATGCTCTCTCTCTCTCTCTCTCTCTCTCTCTACGGCTGTATTTTTCTTAGTGAGTGAAGTCTACAATAAGTGTTATATCTATAGAATACAGATATCCAACTGTTTTATAAAATATTGACCCGAGAGTATAGTAAACATGTTTAACAGTGAAGTTGTCTATCGGGGTATAAAAGCTATGAACTCATTATGAATAGTCAATTCGTTTGACGTTTAAAACAAGTATAAAACAGATTAAAATATTTTTAACAGCAATATATTTAATCATTAATTTTGTGTATAATATTTACATTTAACGTGCTATGCTTTAAAATCTTAAATTTAAAAGGTAAAACTAGGAATATAATTTTAAAATTAAAATTTCTCTATTATAATTTTAAAAAATTTAATAAATAAAGTTTGAAAATGATATCATAATTAAGTTATTAATAATAGTTAATGCATTTTAATGCCTAATCTTAATTAAATCTAATATATTAAGTAAATTGAAAATAATTTTGATAATTAATAAATTATATAAAAATATAAAAATTTAATACTTTAATAAACTAATAAAAGCATACAATTATAAAACAAGACACTTTAAAATATTAATGTATTTAATCTAACATACTGTATGCGATATTACTTTCTAAACGTGATTTTCTAATATATTTAGGTTTATTTTTAAATGTTGATAACTCAAATTTCTTAAAACAAATTTTAATTATATCTAAATGTTTGATGTCTATGAATATCTGATGTATATTAATGGCTTTAAGTTATAAAAAAAAAGTTCTCCATTTGTTGAGTTGTATTGTAATGAGCGTTGAGTAAGAATTGACTGCAAAGATAGAGTTAAATCACATTTGTTTTCGCAGTTAAAGTCTATTCTCAAAATGTCTGACAAAAAAGACAATGAAAATTAGGAGACAATAAATTTTCATTTTCTAAAGAAAGTGTCAAATAAGTCAAAGCAATAGATGTCCTCAAACTGCAAATCCTATCTATTTTTATTGTTGTCTGGAATAAGAACTGAAATATAGATAAACGTAAACGTGATCTTCAAATTTGGACAAAATTAGATTCAAAGTGTGTAATGCTATTGATTTGAATCATAACTCATTTTTATTTCTTCTTTTTGTTTATGGGAAACAAATTATTGAATTTATGGCAAACATTTGGTGTCATCTCATCAATGGCTTGACTCGAGATGCTATTAAATCAATAATATTACTATTAAAACACTGTAATCTACTGAACCAAAAAAAAACTTTTGAAATGAGTTTATTTAGTGTAGATTAATTAACAATGTCAAACAATTAAAATGACCACGCCGTTTTTAAAGACATGCTGTCAAAGTGTCAAATTATGTGTTAAATTTGAAACTATTGTAACAAATGTACGTTAATATCCGTTAGTATCGATTATGCATTAAAACATGGTATTTCAAGCATAAAGTGGCAGTTAATGTGTTGCTTCTGTTAAGTTAAACGACAAAGTTTTTTGATTGTCTTATAAATAGTTTTTAGAAAATATAAATGAATTTGATTTAATTGTGAACAGAATAGGAATAAACTAATATATTATGGTATAATAATTCGCGTGACTTATTTCAATGAGAATTATTCGCTTTCATGAATAACTCTATAATAAAAAACTGGTATTTATTTGAATTTTATTCCCATTGAATAAAAATTGAGATTTAAATAGGAATTGAGATTTCTTTTGGTTATCGTATGAATCGGTTATATTAATTAAAATGAAAAATCGATTCATGCACTCAATCACACACTTGACTGCTTTCAGGTAAAGACTTTTAATGAAAACTTTGCGTTTTTAGTATTTTTTGCTAAGAAATTAATCTCAGATAAACTCAATGTTGAAAACAGTATTATATTTATGCTAATCATCTCTAAAAGTTATTATTACAATACATATGGAGATCTATTTTAATGGCATACAAAATAAATACAATCAATGTTTTTGCTGCAAATATAGTACTTTATATATTGTATACATAAATGTTTTTGTTTGTATTTTTATGTTACTTTATTAATATACAGAATACTACAGAATATATTATAGAAATGGTTGCGAACAATAAATGACTTCTATTTTTGTACGGTTTTGTCATTTCAAGTCTGGACTTATAGGAAAAGCTATAATAAGGCCGTAAAATAGAGACATCGAAAACCATTATATTTATTCAGAGATTTTTGATTCACTTTTTTGAAGACAATTTTATGTCTAAAGAAAGGTAGGGATGAAGTATAAGAACTTGAAGAAAACTGTTTATTTACTCAACACATTGTGAAACAAATTTCATCGCAAGTATTTCTGTTAGGATATGTAATATATGGCAAAAAACAAAATCAAATAGTCTTTACATAAGTGTCGGCTGAAGTGCAAGTCTACGCTCGACTCCACTCCATATTATTCTATATTACTTTATATTACTCTTCACTGCAATAAAGCATTTGAAGGCAAACCTCTCACTATTAATATTGCATCTCATTGTGGAGATCAGACTTCAATAGCAAATGTTATATCATGTTATGTTCAATACATTATACTCTAATATATAGTAATGTATATAATGGCCAAAACTCACCATCAGATCTCCATCAGCGCACTTCTCAGTGAACTCGAGTCCGGCCAACTTCCAGGTGCCCTTCTTATTGATGAGCACAGATTGTGGACAAACATTCCGGTGAATCAGTTTACACGAGTAGTGCAGGAATAGCAGCGCTTCTGTTAACTAAATCAAGTAAATGAATCATAAATAATAGTTATGTTAATATAAACCAAATGCAAATTACAACAAAAATGCATCACTTAATGTCTTGATTTGCTAAATGAACCATTTTTTGTTACATAGATTTTTCTATTAATATTAACTCATATTTCATATACTTTGACACAAAGTTAGTCGACACAAAACTAGGATAATATTGTTTTCATACAAATGTAACGCCAATTCTTATAAATTATAGGAAATATTATTTCAAATGTAATAATAAAATATTTCTTCATAGATATATAATAAAACAAAATTAAATAGAAAATAAAATTTAATAATAAGAATATAATTGAATTGAATATATTGTATGATAAAAATAATTAGAAATAAAAAGCGATTGAAAACTAAAAAATTACCCGATTTTAAGACTAAATGTCAATAAATTTTTTTAAACAATGGCTTATACTCTAAAACAAGTTTGATTTGATCCAAAGTAGAGTTTATTATTTAATAATAAAAATATACTTTTCTGAACGTTGTAGATAATGGGCATCAACTTCTTGCCAATTAACAAAACTCATTAAAATTGTATTAAATTTTTAAAACAATCGTTATCTATTAAATTGATGACAAGTAATTGTTTACATTTTAAAATTTTAATAAAACCTACGTTTTTAACGTATATAAAGATTTTTTGATTTAATTTAATAAAGTAATGCATTGAGTTATGTTGTGATTTGTCATGATTTTAAAATAACAAGTTATTTATTATTTTGGTTCTAAATAATAAATAAACATGGTTTACACGAATCAATATTTATAATCAAATCAAAATATAAATATTATTCTTTGCAAATATGATTAAATTTTGTCGTTTCAATAAATCTAAGCAACACTTTTGAAAATTCAGTTTCAATTTATATAAAAAACTAATCGAAATGGTTTACATTGGTTTTATTTGCCAACACTCAATTTAAACAATTTTATCAAATAAATTATAAACAATGAAAATTAATTATCAAGCGTAATTAAAAAAAATATTTTAAGTTAAAAATAATCTTGCGCCAATATATAAATGTATATTAAATTACGCTTGTATATTATATTATTTAAAGGTATTCTACTCATGGGTATTTAATTTTAAAAATAGTTTTAAGAATTATTGGAGATTTTTAAGAATTTAGTCGATAATAGTATTTATATTTAAAAACTAAATACATTATAAACAAGACTTGAATATTGAAGTAATGCTTCAAATGTGACTTAAAAGGAAACGACAATATATTTACATTTGAACCAATGTTTGCGAAGTAAGTGTTGAAAAATACATAAAGATAGCAAAGAGAGGACAGACACCGAGAAATGTGTGCAAACCTGTAATAATCCGTATTTGATTTCAAAGTCAAGGAACGAATATTCGCGGATTCTTGAGGGAAGGTTCTGCGGAAGCCTGTCGTCGAGTGTACCCAATATGTTGGCCAAAGAGGCCAACACTGGTTCGGTGGCGAAGGCCAGAGTGTCACTCGACTCCTCGACCGAATGGACAAGTGTCAGCATTTTTGGATGTCTCACGCGATCCAATTGTCTGACACTAAATCTTAGTATCTCTGCAATCGTTTCCTTTCGTTTTGGTTTATGAAGTTTGTCAGCAACTCGTTTATCAAAGAAAAACACCGACGCCTCCTATCAGGTGCCCAACCATTTCGGTGTCAAATTGTGGACAAAACAATGTTAACAATATATAATAAATGACTGGATTTCAAAATGGGTTAATGATAAAAGAAATGTTGAATCAAACCTTTTTGTCTGATTTTCTACAGGCATCAAATATCTTCCAGGCCAACTCAGGCCCAGCACTCGCCACTTGTTTGCCGATCTCGAAGTACTGTGCGATTGGGTTCAAGTCCAGTGGCGTTGGATAAGAGCCCGAGACGGCGGACGAACCTTTGAGTTTGGAGAACATGATGGCTGTGTTGAGCACAGGTAACACTCCTCAAGTATATTAGTTAGTATTCAACGCTTTTGTGAATATCTTCATAGAGACACTAATGTTAACAAAAGCTTGAATGAGAAGTCTTCAGATCGATAGGGGGAAAAATGTTAGTCCATTAAGTGATGACTGAGAGAATGAAAGCAAACGAAGGGATTGTTTGGCGAAAAACTGGAGGCAATTGTGACCAAAGACTAAATGACATAAAATTCACAAATAGTTTCACAACTCATACGAACGGCGAATGCGAACAGAATTTGTTTCTATGAGTCAAAGCAATGGTCCAAACGAGTGACCACAGTCTCCACTGAAGGCAATCATCGACTCCTATATGCGAATCACCTGTACTTCCATTGCCCACAGACTATGCACTGAATTCCTATAGTAAAGCCATAGAAATGTGAAACATGTCTGTCGGGCACGCAATATATGGACCAAAATGTATGGTTTTTCTTATTGGTAAGTGAAATAAGTCGCTCTCTTTTTCCAGATATTTAATGCTTTATATAATAGAGTTCATCACCAAAACTAGCAAACATTAGCCCATAAATCGCTTCACATTCACTACACTGTACTAAACACTGAATTATTGAAATCTTTTCATTCAATTGATGTTTTCTTTTAGCGTTACGTTTGTTTGAAAGTTATGGCAATTATTCATTAAATATATTATTATTAATCAAATGGAGAATTATTTATAAAATTCTCAAATTATTAGAGACGTGAACGACAAACACAAACAACTATTTATTAGAGACTGATTTTGGTATAACTTTTTATTCATAGCTTTCATACATTAACTAATGAGGCATTAAATAAGATGAACGTTTCTCTAAGGTTTCCCAGATTTGGACTGACTTTGAATTTAAAATTTAATTTATGATATAATACAGCGATTAATGATTGTATCGATTTTGATACAAATCAGACTTAAGTATTGAACCAAAAAACAGCACAATTAATGAATACAAGAGAAATATATTTTTTTCTCATTCATTGATAAGTAGTTGTATTGAAATGAAAAAAAGATTAAATAGAGAGAGAGATTTCAAAAGTTTTATTATTGAAATCTTATGCTTCAAATGGTTGAAGGGATGCGGACGACATAATGTAATCACAATTCTAGAGCTAATAATCGCTTTCACATCACTTTTAAATAATAAATTGCTATCAAATGATTGTAACACGAGTTAAAACCATAGAAACACACACCTGACTGATCTACTAGTGCTGACTGACTCTAACTCTATGTCTCACTCTTTTTAAAACATAACTTCGGGAACTCTGCTTGTGCTCAGTCGTGAGTCGTGCCGCCACTGCAACTCATTCCCTCTCCAACTGCTATATTTGGCTCACAATCGAGTGCTTCAAAGCTTCCACTGAACACAACACTGTATGACTGTATTCTTCTCTCAAATATATTTCATCTCTAGATTTATAATCATATCTATTATGCGATTGCAATGCGTTTGACTTATACCGTAGTCTACAACGAGTCCACAAGTGTTTGTCCAATCTTTTGTCTCATAAAATTCCATTCAAACTTATTTAACATTTTTATACTTAACTCTATATTTAGTTGCGTTTTCTTCATAAAATGTTATATCAATTCCGAATTTTATTAAAATAAATCTTTTCAAGAATTCTTATGTCACTGAATTTTTATATCCTCTACAATATTTAGCGCTCTCTCTCTCTCTCTCTCTCAATTCTCATCAGAAAAAAATCCTCAAATAATATCATAAAGTATTTG